TGAAAGGATATTTTTAGTCTTGTTACCAGCAATGACAAAAGGAGGATGTGAATATTTTATTATTTACAAGTACTGTAGAAATGTGTGTACATGTAAAGTCTACCCTGCTATACCTGCTATCAATTTGAGTTTGGATGCGACGCCAGCGGTCATTCATCTGACCCACCAGCTCTGAGTACTTGGACAAGTCCACGTCACACTTGTGGAAGGAATCAGAGATTTGACCATTCCAGTGCACTGCTTTAGTCAGGTCAGACTCCATAGCAGTCAGCAGGTCTCTTTTTTGCTCCAGATCACTCTTCATTTGCTGTAATAGAGAATAAAAAAAACAGCCCCCGCCCAAAAGATATTCAATTTCAGTTAATGTACCATTAAGTGATAACTAGGGGTATTGCTCTACATGGTTTTACATTTTTTCAAGTCTTGAAACTGAAACGTCTGCAGTTCAAACTAAATATTGGAAGTGTGTCAGACCTTTAGTGCGCTCCGTTGGTTTTCCACTTCCCGAAGGTCCAGAGAGGTAGTCTCCTTCTCCGTTAACCGGGCCTCATAGACTTTAATGATATCCTCGGCCTGGAGAAGGCTCTGAAGCAAGGCCTTAAGAGCTGACAGTCTGTTGAAAACACACAGTCATTACATTAAATGCAGCAGAGATGAAAAGTGATTTTACTCTCTAATCTATCATATATTAGCTTCAGGTTCCAGTCCCACTACTTTATTTTGTGGAGTATTTACTCAAACATGGTGGAATAAACAAAAAGGTGGTGTAATTACCTTTGAAGGTAAACTGAGTAGAGACCCTGCAGGCCTCCCAGTTTCTGGTTGATGATTTCCAGTTCTGATCGGAGGAACTTGGCTTGATCGGAGTCAGCAGGTAGCCCTTCCAGCTGCTTTATAATCTTTTCTCTTAGGCGCAGGTACTCATCATAAACAGAGTCCAACTCTTCATGCACAGCCTAGAAACCAGTAAGATTTATATTTTACCCATATGTTTCAGCTTTTGACATTTGGTTTTGTTTTGTAGCAAACAAAATCTTCCTCTTTTAACTATATGGAAAAATAAATGAATGATTGCATACCTGCAGCCTCTGGATGTGCACCGAGCACTCGTGCACACTGTTGTCCCCAAGAGGAACATGGAGATGACTAGTGAGAGCAGACTCAGCCAGCTCCAATCTGCGCCGAATTTCTTGTAGATTAGTGAGCATGGTAAGGCTTACGGTAGAACTGGGTGGGGGAGGCTTGGGGACAGTGGTCTTGACAGTTTTGGTAGTCTGAACCTTGATGGTTTCCTCCTTTGACGGTTCAGGCTTCACCACTTCATCCACTTTATTGGCTGATGGAAAATGCAGAGAATATGGATTTATAGTAAAAGGAATAACTCTATTTTTGCAACTTTAGTGAACTGATCATTTAGGAATAAATGAAAGACATTCTGCACTCACTGAAAGTAGGCAGCTGGACAATCAGTGTATCATAGTAGTTCTGGGCTTTATCGAAGTGGCCCTGAATAGTTTTCTTGTCCTCTTCTCCAAACATCTCAGAACCTTGGCTGGTACGCAGGAACTCTTGGTAGTGAGTTTCCAGTCTTTTGATGATGGTGCGGTACTCCTCAGGACGCATCTTAGACAGCTACCAGACAATGAAGCGGCATCAAGTTAAGCAAAAGTCACAGAAGGTGAGGAAACCTCTTCAGACAGTGCTGGAGATAACTTGTAAACTGAATCTAATTCATCTTTGCCATGGATGTGAAAAGATAAGTTAATATTAAACCTTAACAGTAAAACTAAGGAGTTAATTAGATTCTGTGTGGTATCTTACCATGGTTACAGTGAGAGAGTTAATGTAATTGATGTCTTTGAGGCAGTACTGCCATGAGATGAGGCTCTTGATGTTGATGTAGAGTTGATTCCAAATGCCCATAATGGCTTCATAATACTGCTCATTCCTGGGGAACAGAACAAGCCATCAGTCATTTGTAAAGGTAAAGAGAAACTGCAAACAGAGCAGGCATGATGACTAAATGACTTGTAAAAAAACCTTGACACCATGTCAGCAATGTATACTGTATATTACCAATACGTTATCAAAAGGCTATTTTCATAGCATAATGTCCAACTATGTATCAAACACTGCAGATGAACACCAACATTACCTTTATTCTAAAATCATTTACATAATGAATGATTATTTATGACCATGAATGATCTACATCTCCATTCAAAGTATGTTTCTCACTTGTTGGCGAGGCCGATGCTGAGTGGGTTTGGTGGAGGGATGAGCAGACACACAGAGGGAATGAGCATGTCCAGACCTCCAGGTCCCGTAACAAGCCACTTGCTGCGCTGCGAGTTGTCCTTCAGAATGCCTTCGTTCCCTTTAAGAATCCCTTTCTGAAGCACAAAATTGGGACATACAAGAATTAGATTTGTAATATTTCACTCCATTCTGTGTGTGTGTGTGGCCTTACTTTACAATACTTGTGCAGCCCAAAATTCATGAGTTACTATCTTCGTGGGGACCAGAGACTGGTCTCCACAACGTAGTTTGTCAAATTTTATGAAAACGATGGGGTGTAAGGTTAGAGCAAGTGTAGGCTTTGGTTAAGGTTAGGGTAAGTCTCCTGGAAATGAATGTAAGCCTATGTAGGGACCTGGTAAGTTACAAAAACAAGGATGCGTGTGTGTGTATGTGTTTGACAGAGAGCATACATATATCTCACCTGGTCTTGTTTAAAGTCACATAAGGCCTGGACTATGACAGGGCTGGTACTCTTCTCTTCTGGGTTGCGAGGCTTCAGCCTGACAATGGCCTTAGACTTGTTGACCAGACTTTGGACCTGCCTCTTATTCTCCATGATTTGTTCCCTCTCTTTCTGTGAATATGCAAAAATCAAAAATGTATCATCAACTGGGCCACAGAACACTGCAACAATCATGAGTAATGTTTTTTCTAATGTCCCTACCATTACAATATAAAGCAGACATGCAGAAGCCTTCCATTTAATCTCTTAGCTCACTCAACAAAACGAGCTGTTTCAGCATATTTTGTACTTCACACCTGCAGGGAAATATGTACACCCTGAACTTATCTAAGTATAATGCTTACCTCCAGGTTTTTCAGGAATTCAGCGAGGTTATCCAAGGAGGTGTTCTTGTCACAGGTGTACTTGTTTCGGATGGTCTCGTGCTGTTTCTGCAGTTTTGAATAGGTCTCGTTGGCCTCCTTGAAAAACTAAAGGTGACAACAAAAACCTTTCATCAGGGTTCACATGAAAACACAGAGGGATCTATTTTCATAAGAGCAAAGCAGGACTGAGAACGTACTTGGCTGTAGGCAGCATTTTCCTTCAGATGGACATGGATGCACTTGGTGATCTGGAGAAGCCAGCTCCACTGGGTCTGTAAGGTGTCCATGTAGGCCTGTGTGTGCACAGACAGCGATCAGAACAAAGCACAGTTGGCTGATTATGATAAGAAACATAATGCAGAAAACAACTTACTTCAATCTTATCTGAGGCAGGATGGTTGTTGTTCAGGAGTCCATCTGTTTTTGTCTTCAACTTATTTAGATCTTTCTCCTTCTCCTCCAGGTCCCTCATCAGCCTCTGCCATAAAACCAGAAAATAAGAAACCCAAAAGGCCACAAAGTACTTTAAATATTAAAGCAGGATCTACTGCCATAAACTAAGACTGAAACACCCAACCAGGGTAAAAGACTTCAGCCAGAGACGCTTACTGAGTAGCTCTCTTGCTTCTTAGGGATGTACTGGTCGATGTTCTTGTCTCCCCAGTCAAACACAAGCTCCTCCTCTTCTTTCTCATTCACCCACATGATGGCTCTTGAGATCTCCTCGATGATGTTCTGAAGGTCACGTAGCTGATTCACACGGTTGTGGGACATTTTCTGAGGCAGACATGAGGTAAATGTATGAATATGACAAAAAGTAACAATAGTGATCATGCATACTGCTGCTGTTTTTGACAAAAAGCTAGGATCTACCTGCAGGCTGTCCCATTCTTGTTCCAGGATGGAGAGGTTGTTCTTGTCAGCCCTCATGCTCTAAAAAAAGACATTTTGGTTACAAAAATAATAGGCTTTTATATATATGATAGATGACCATAAAGAATAAACATAGTGGACTAAACAGTTCAAAGGAAGATAGCAACTAAGAAGAGCTAAAAAGGCCATTTACCAGTTCGTCCCTGGCGCGGTCTACTTCCTGGTTCCTTTGGATAGAGCTGTGTTGTTTGCTGTGGCTAAAGATTTGCTTTTCTATGGTTTCTGAGTCATCTCCCCATGGAGCAGTCTCAATCATGCGCTACAAAATGCAAAATAATGTCATTACATTTTGAAATGTCTGTGTCTGTGACACTTGTCAAACACAGCCACAACTGACAGGAAATAGAATATTTTATAGAACACCATTATTGTGAAGTAATATACTGTATATTATGCAATATATGCACAAGAATACAGCTGGTATTGATCATTATCTTTTATTCAAATAAATAAATAAATGAAACTAAGAGAAAAGACCAAAATTTGTGATGCATAGTCTGTCTCTCGATGTTTTTTGACCTTCCCGCCCCCTGTGGCACTAAGCCCTAAGCCCATTTGTTCCCAGTGAAGACACATTTTTAAAAATAGGTCACCGATGCATAGCTGGAGAATGTATGCTACTTAAACATGAGTAAAGTATGCATTTAATGGGGGCTACGTTCAGCAGTGAATTAATACATATTTGGTGTTCTAACAAAGATTTACAGTAGCTGGATGGTGCATGTTGAACTGACTCAAAATAAAGTACAGTGCCAGTGTTCACTGCAATGAACAAGTGCAATGGTGTGGCTGATCCAATTTGAGGTCTATGGCACAAGTTAGCTGCACAGACAATACTCATTACCTATATTTGTAAAATACATACATTTTCTGTGTAAAAAAAGGAATTGGTTTAAAATAAGAAAAACACAGAATATCACCAGCCTCTTCTTACAAGTAGAAAAAAAAATTCACATTTCCTTGATGTTAAATCAGTGCTTTCCCCTCTTTGTCCTCTAGGCGTCAGCATATGACCAGTACATCTGTTTTTAAGCAGGAAACTATTCCAACTATTTCCCCCCTTGTTCGCAGCCCTCCACTTAGATAACAGCTCTGTCTGCAGGCCAGCCAGAGCCAGTCGCTGCTCTTTATATGTTTTTTTCTCTCTCAGCTTTCTCAAGGCTTTTATTCTCAACCACTCCCTTTTCCTTCATGATTGCTTGACTGAAGCTTAACACAACACGGTCTAATGGAGAAATGTCAGCACAATCCTTTACTGAACTGTAGGTGCAACGGCTAAAAATCAACCAGTAGTACACAGAAACAGTGGGTGAAAATGGCAGTAAGTAGGGCATTAGATAATGTGCATCCAGTTCAGGGGTTTTATAAAAGGCAATATCTAAAGACTGAGAGAAAATATGGGAAGAAATGTTTCTATATCCAAGACAGGCAGGCAGAATGAATGACGGAATATACCGGGGTGAGGCTAGAAGTGGTGACTGAATGACAGGGTGTGGTTTTGGGTGGGAGGGTTACAGAGATAGAGAAGACATTTTCCCATGAACATGTCAGAGGTCAACTGACTGCCCTGTCTCTTAACAACTGACTCAGAGGACAGTGTCAGATTTCACACTGCTTTACTTCTACTTTTCTTTCTGCCTCCACAGTCTTTATCTCCCCTCCCTCTGCACTCTCTCTCTCTCTGAGTAGAGCTCTTTCCTCTTCTTTGTTTCAGTCCTCCTGCACCTCTCTTGGCCTCTCTCCCTCACGGATCAGGTTTTGGCAGTGCCTGGATGGTTTCAGTTACACAAGGTCATAATATGTGGTCGGGTATTGTGAAACTGATTTCAACTATATCACTGATATTTCTTGTGTTTGATTGTGTTGTTAGGTAATTTCTTAGCCTGAAATGCCTCTGAATGTATGAAGGTATGTATGTATTACCTTCTGTTGGGAAATCCAGGCCATGGCATCGTTAAAGATCCTGCCCCCCTCAAGGGAGCTCACACTGCTCCTGTTACGTCTTAATGTCACACCACCGCCAAGTTGCTGCTGGATAGCAGCATGCATGCTCTGCAGCTGGTCTACACTGTGGCATTGTAAACAAAAGGAACATGCACTGTGAATCTTCCACAGACACACTAATCTTTCAAGTTCAAACAGCTCAGCCGGAGAAATACAGCTGAGTGAGCAGAATGTGTAGCAGGTGTTACACTCCTCAGTATTGCTGTCTCTGTGTAAGGTTTGGTTCAACTAAAATGAACCTCTGTATGTTATTCCTACCATGTTAATCTGCACACAGGGTCTCTCAAAAGTGTATGCACAGGTATAAATGAAAACTGTAAATGCAAACACGAAAGGCCGCACACAAACTGATGAGTGTACACCGGTACTTTACAAGGCACACACAGAGCATATTGTCTTACCTTCTGAAAACATCATTAGGTATACGCATTTGCTGCATGTCTCTGCCACAGAGCTTCAGCTGCTCCAGGGTCTCTGCAGCCATGAACAACCACTTCTCCACCTCTGTACCTGGAGCACCCTATAAAGTCACACAACACAGACGCTGAACTCTTGCCAGCTTTAAGAGGTGGCAGAGAAGATTTGCTTTTCACTTCACATCCTGCCTTGACATGGAAACAGAAAAGTGTACAGTCTCACTTCCCACCATTCTTCTGGTAATTTTCCTACCACTAGAGGCTAACATAAACAAATAACATTAGTTATGTTGAGTGTAATCTGTGTGCCACACTTACACCCTGGAGAGCCATCTTTGCTTTTTGCAGGTAATCGTGACACTGGCTAGTCAGAAATTGACATTTTTGCTGAAAGGCCTGTGCACTGAAAAAAAAGATCAAATATTGTGCGCTTTAAACACAATTTTACATATACACAGACAATTTTGTCTGATTAAAGGTTACTGTTGAAGATTTTAGAGAAACGTGAATTTAACTAAAACCATCAACAGAAAAATCAAACTGATATAATTAGCTGGTTGATTTTCATACTTTATATAAGCAAAAGTTGAAACATGGATACTGTTAATATAGTTAATTGGTTACTAAAAAGTTATAAATGCATGTAAATGATCATTGAATTTCACAGAAATTAAAACTTAGAAAATATACTACATCCATGTTTACACAGCAAACAACACAGCAAAATGACAATAATGCTTGGAAATCAAACAAAGACCAAAGCAGTTAGTGATGAGGAGCAACCCTTTCAAATTATAAACCATTGTTTTAATCAACACCCATTCATTCGTAGTTTTTAAAACTCTGTGGGTCCTGGGACATGGGAATAGGTCACCAAATAGGCACCACAACAAAAACTAACCAGCTGTTGGAAACGCTGGACACTTTAAAAAGCTGGTGTGGTCTCTATACGCCTAAATAATACTCTATGTTTTACATTAGATTTGTTCACCACTGTATTGTTTGCATATTGTACAACATTACTATTCTAATTGACATTAACATCATAATGAATGGCTGTAATGGGGTGTGTACAGGTATTTCCCCTACTGGGATTAAGAACATTGGGCAACAGAATAGGAGCCATTCAACTAGGATTACTTTGACACATATATCGCGAAGATAAATTAGACTTTTAGGCCTTACGGACAGAGGTCTAGACCTGGGGTGCATTTGGACAAAAGGACAGTTTTACCCAGTGAGAAAATCACTTTCACATTGTCTTCTCGGAGGCACAATACAATACAAATAAACTTTACGGTCTTCCTGGAACCTGCCTGATGACACTTATCTCCTTTTTCTATCTTAAAGTTCACATTTTCACGACACTTATCTCCTTTTTCTATCTTAAAGTTCACATTTTGACGGCGATTTATACCGTTTTCTTTGTGAGAACAACTTGACGCGCATTCTTCTACATGTCCATTTAATGATCGATACGCGCAGCCCAGACAAAGCAACAGGTGATATCAAGACGCTTACCTCATTCCACCACCTCCACCCCCAACCATGCCAGCTTGCATTTTCGGTCCCCCGACCCCGTGCACGGAGGCCCTGGAGACGGTGGTGTAGGTAGTGTATCCACCGTCCCCTACTTGGTAATCTCCCTGGTAGCCGTTTCCACTTAAGAACACGTCTCTATAACCTGGACTCGCCAAATCCGGTCGCGAATTAGTTCTCTGGCCCATGGTGGCCAGTTTTGAATTGGAGCCGTACATACTCATTGTTACTGAGCTGTATTATGCCTTGAGAAAGTAGTTTTTAGTCGTTCTGTTCTGCTGTCCAGACAGTGGACAGACCTTGCGCGTCTCCCCTCCCTGTCTCCTGTTGCGCAGATAATTGTCTGCTGTGAATAGACGGAAACTGTTCGCTTTTGGTTTGGACAGAAGCCACACCTTTCTGTGTTTACGAAACACTCCTGCACATATCGGCCTGTGTGGGAAGAACAGTGCTGGGGTTGTAGTGTCATTGTAGTTTGAAATTTTCTTGGTTGTTAACAATTAACCTACATTTCTAAAGTAAGTCTTGTTAAAGTTTTGTGTGACATCTTCAGAACATTGTCAAATTGTCCTGTGGTTTACACAGACAGCTTGTCAGAGATGTTTGTTTGCTGCTGCTGTTGTTTTGTTGTTATTTTAATGAGTTGCTAGCCAAAGGAGGACTGTTGGAAACCTTTTAGCAGTAAACACTAGCACATTTACATTGATGTGTTGATCACAGTGAATTTTCCCTGTAATAAACCAATACATAAAATGAAATAAATTCTTGATTTTGCTGAGGACTCAGTGTCCTTTTAGAAATCCTTCACTGCATTTATGTGTGCACTAGTGTCCTGGCTATGATCAGGTTGTGTTATCCTAATTTCAGAAACCTGGAAAAGCCTTATTCCTGGTTTTGAGAAGCCCGGAGTACTCCAGTAGAAACCAGAATACTGTGGTGTGTACACACCTTATCCAATTGTTTATATGGCTGAGATGGTGAGAAAATGAAGACAAAATCAGAGTCCTGGGTACTGTTATGATCATGTAACAGGACATGATTAACTAGGTTTCTCATGTTCCATGTAAATTCCATTACCCTGAATATGATCATAACCAGGATACTAATGTTCATTTCCATGTACTCATTGATTCTCACATATGCACCCTCTGAATATATGGCTTAAATCCATGTTTCTTTCTACATAAATTTCTCAGCAATGTGCACTCTTCTGTTTCCCTCAGTCACAGCTTCAGTCACCATACCCAACTGATGATAAGTACAGAATAGGCCTACAGCAGCAAACACATGTAATCCTCACTAGAGTGAGTGGAGATAGTGGTTTTGTAAAGAATTTGTCATTGTGGTTTCAACATTCATGAGGTCAGAAGGAGTCCATTTGGGGATTTCACTGTTCTGCATAGTTTGACGCTGACAACTAAGTGATACCAAAGTTTTGTAAACAAATAAAGGTGCTTTTTTTAGTTTAAAGTTTGCCTTTCCTTTTTATATTTTTCCTTTACTGTCACACTGTCCTTACATCTCTGCTTCTGCTATTTTTCCATTTTTCTGCACATATTAGACATCACAGGTAGGTGTGGCCGAGCTTTGAAAAGTGAAAGGGAGTGAGAAAGAAAACTAGGCAGAATAGGGAGGGTGAATGAATTTGATTGTGCAGATGTTACATAAGAAAAGACAGAAGACACCAGTGATGAAGAGATATAACAGAAAATGACATAAACAACCACTCAGCGTCTTAAATGCTTTGGTTTGATACAAATGATATCATTGTGAAGTCGTACAGCCTTTCATGACTGAAGGAAACAAGAGCTGACTTTGATGGCAGACATATTGTGCCCCCTGGTGTTTTAGCCCCAAGCTACTGCAGTTGTACAGTACACAACTAATTCACAATGTCACATAGAAGTGTGAGAAGTGTGAGAACACTGAGGACTGGAGGTACGGGAGGAGCAAGAAGCATGCTCAAGGGTAAGCACTGAAACGATGACTTTAAAGAACCAACGCCCTTGACAGGAATTTTCAAACCATTATTGCTACTCCTTTCTTTGTCACCACCAGACTTTTTCCAAACTTGTGCTGAGCATTTGGATCTTAAACAGTAATTAATTTTACTTCCAACTGTAACGTGATACTTTCTTTCAAACACTAAGCACACCCACCAAAAGACTCAGTGGATTTGCCTTAAGCGTGTGCTCTACCCCCCAGCTCTTAATACGTGCTTTCTGAACAAAAGACAATGCAAGACTGAGCATGCACAACTTGCCAAATGTCAGAGTGAGAACAGCTCTCATGCCAAAGGAGATGGCCTGTATGAGAAAATGAACCTTTCTGTACTGTATGATGGCAGAGATTCATTGGAACCAGGCCATTTCTTATAAACTCTCTCCAGCAGAAAGGGTTTTGCCTCATTATATTAAAATCTTAGACATCGAATTCAGTTATTAAAATACTTTTCTGAGATTGTTGTGCGTGGTTGTGCTATTTTTTTACAGTCTGCTGACAAACAATGTTTTTTTTCTGCAAGATAAGAATCTCTCTTAGAAATGTGAGTATGATCAGAATCACGGTGAGGTGGGGCAGACTGAAGGGACGGTTCATTTAGTCAGATTGAGTAATACTTGTCTGTCATCATGCACTGGTTCCACCCTCTTTCTTATCCTCCTCTATCCTTTATGTCTAGTTTTTACCTATACTCCTGTCTGCATTATCTAATCACGTTTAAAAGCTTTGCTGAGTCTCCAGCTCAGCTTGGAGTAAATATTTAACCTGATGTTTACTTTCAGTGCCAAAATCCATGCACAGCTACAGTAGATTTTCTGGTTGTAAAATGAAGACTTGTTGCATGTGAATTTGTCACAGATTTACACCAACATGAGAATGAAATGTGATTAATCAAAAACACAGGATTAACGCTCACGAACAGGTTGTTGGTGCCTAGTGATTCACAGCGATATGATTTCCAGACACTTGCACTGACATAGTTTACTGAGTAAACAGCAGCAAAGTCACACACTTGCTTTAATAATTGTCTCCCTTATTAATTTCATGTCCTGAGCTGATTCTCCTGACCAGCTTGTCAACAGGGTTTTTTTTTCTGAAATCTGAAAAAGAGACATTTGTTAAGTGTTGATCCTCAAGACTATAAGGGCTTTGAAACTGATTTAATACATCACTATAAAGATTAAGGATTCACATAAAATATATACAAATAAAAATGGTGGAAAAGTTGATTAATTAGGTGGATGTAGCCCTGGTTTAAATACTGATGTCATGAATAAAATTCTCCTGTTTAAAAGCTTTTCATGATCATTTTTAACCATAAAAACATCAGTCATCTTGAAAAGATGAACAGATATCTTTGGAACTTAAACTCATTCACCAGAATATTAAAGAGAACATGAGCTCAGTTCTCAACCGGGAAAAAAACCTGTAGCATCTAAGGGTATTCTGCAAGGGCTTTGAGCTAAACATAGAAACCATTCAAGGCCCCTTTCTATAGCAACCACCCAAGCTCAGTAATGTTTTTTCTTTATCTAAGTTGACATTAACAGCAGTGTAATAAATTACACAACACTGCGCTTGGCTATTTTTTCGACTTTGAGATCAAGTTGTACTAAAGCTATACACAAACCCCACATTATGGTTAAGTTGTTTTCTTGTCAAAGGATGTTTTTATTTTTATTCTTTTTTGTAATCTGCACAAATCTATTACTGTTAAGTAGAAATGTTATAAGAGACACACACACTTATCTAAAAAGGGGAAAGTTTTTCATTATTCGTTGCAGCTTAAAAGCTCAGACACACACCTCATGTGTAACCAGTTGGTTTGGAACACAGAGACAGATAAAACAACACACACACACTGATCTGACTCATAGCAGTGCACAGGGGCGGATCCTGGACACACCTGAATTTGTTGCTATGGGAGGTAACAGTCAGGTTTGAATGATACTAAACAACTCAGAAAGATAATATGACTGCACAGCGTTCAGCCAGTTTCTGTTGGCACACAGCCATGCAATATAGTCTGCACACACTATGCTTTGCCTGCATGATAGAGTTAGAAAGGATAAAATAGGTCTGTCATTATGGTTTTTTAATTCACTGGGTTGTTGTACAGCACATTAAAGGATTAAATATATGCATTTAACGGCTTCATTTTATTTTGTGAGAATTCTAAGCCTGCTTAAGAAAATGCCCAGTACATTTATATTTCACCAACACCCTCACTTTGCTGAGAGAGAGAACAGGCTAGATGCTGTCATATGAAAAACAGCCAGGAGCAGCAAAGCAGTGCTGTTGCCCCAGTTTGTCTGCAGGGGTCATCAGTGTGTCACAAAACACAACAACACCCTGCAGGACAGTCAACTGTCCTCAGTCACTCTTCCAGGGGGTTGCTCAGGACCGGTCGCACTGCTTTGCATACAGCAGCCTTAAAACATGTTTATTCAATTGTGAAATAAGATGAGGTCACATCCAATGTAGTGTGCTGCAACTGTTGGCTTTTTTCCCATAATAATATTTCTTTAAAGAATAATACATCTCATAATATTAAAAAAAGTCTACATTTGATCTATTAAATAAAACAAATTTAAGTATGCATCTCTTTGAGTCAGTAAACAGGCATGTACTAGCACACTATGGCCAGAAGGGTGAAGTATTGTTGAGCACACATGTGCTGTGGTCACGTAGTCGATCAAGCTAGTGAGTGTGAGTCAAACCTGACTGGTATCGAACTAGTTACTGTTCATCCAGTTCTTACAAATCCTTCATCTTGAGTATTACAACACAACAAGTCATAATCTGATCATATAAATAAATGAAATAATTGTGCCACTACAATGAAATGTTAATGTTAGGGTTGCAGCATGTATTTTTATTATAATAATAAGGTGGAATTTAAATCAAATGTGGCAAATTCATGGTAAAATATAAAAATAATTAATCATCTGATTTGATACTAATAAGCTTTTCAGCACCTAATGGTAAAATACTGTCCTGTTGCTCTACAGAGTGGTACCATTATCTAATAGGGCATATAAAGGATTTATAAGTTGTAACTAATGTATTAACAGGCAACAAATCAGTTTCAGTCAAGCTTAAAAAAAAATACAACATTTAATACGGAAGGTTTTGGGTTGCCAGGTTGTGAAAAATTCAATTGTGTGGTGTTTATCTTTCTCTAATATAACTTACTCCTGGCTTTAGGAAACCCTCAATATTTAATTCATCCATTCACCCAAGAACCTGACATCAGTTTTATAAGATCAGTCTTGAAGGAGGCTTAAAAAAATCCTTTATTAAAACTTTTTTTTAAACTGTGAACCTGTTGGCTTTTTATAAAGTGAGAAATTGATTGAATTTTACATGACCAAGAAACCTAAGCATGTCTTATTGTTGATCTTTAATAAGGGGAATAAAAAACTATTCAGTAACAGTAAATGAGACCGTCTTTAGTTACAAACACATTATCTTTATCTGGCACCTAAAGAATTATAGGGACATAAACTTCAGGGAGATTTAATAATTAAATATGGGCTAATATTAATCATAAGAGACTAGCAACTGTAACTGTAATAACTGCTGTCCCTAAACAGCAAATATAAGTATTCTCTTCATATATTCGAGATTTATTTCTATTTTATAATGATCTAAATAAGCAAATATTTATTTATTTAAATTTTCTTTTCTGGTCTCTACCAATGTTGCTAAAGAAAGGGGCGGGGACAGCAGGAGAAGTCCCTCCTCCTGCCTCCCGTTGATTGGACAGCTGCACCATACATTTACAATATTTGTATTTATTAATTATTTATGCTATGTATAGTTATTAATTTATTACGTATCTGTATATTTTGTGCTTGCCACTTGTAATTTCTGTAAACCCAGAATCGAATTACCTAAATCTTGTAACTTTCTGACAAATGCTTCTTGGGAAAAAGTCACTAAAAACAACAACGGCTGCTTTGATTTCATTCAGCCATCAAATAAAATAATATACACCTAACATGGTTGCAAAAATATCCACTGTAGAAAGACCACATATTCTGCAGTGTGTTCATTTATTTGAATAAAATATATAACAGCCTATATCAGTGTCTCTTCTAGCCTACTGGATACGATAAAATATTAGGCTATAAGGAACAATAATATCGTTTTTCAGGAGGTGACTTGGTGTAACATTGTAAGGAAAATGGACATTTTCCTTTCAGAGCGGTTACCGGTAATCTCAGGTGGCCATGTTGGGGTAGAGTCGACAGCCTTTATGGGCAGGTGTGTTACCTGCGGCTCCCTCAGGAAGCACTTCCTTGGGCTCCAGTGCCACAGCTGGCAGACACAGATGCGATGAATCAGACGACGGAAAACATCATGTAGTGGTCTCATAGTTATCACTGCCTTCAGTTCCACTCCGCCTTTGTTTTGGGAGCTTATGCCCGCACGGGTTTTTGGTGGCACACCAAGAGGATTGCTTCCTGATAATAAGAGAGGTGCGTCTTCTTTCCATTCCAGTGATTGACTGCGCACGGCTTTCACCGCCGGAGCTGGGGCATTGACGCATTGTGGAGTCGACAGGGGGTAGCACTGCAACCCCGGCTTCGCTACACACACGCATCTATCGGCGAGACCGCGATGGCCGTGGTGCAGCACGACACGGAGGACCGTCAACCGGAGAACGGCTTCGTGTCCCCCGAAACCACGTCGCCGGGGCTGCTGACACGCATCGATGGGTCTGTCCTGCCATTTCTCGGGGGATTTGGGAAGTACCAGAAACAGCTGATCGTGTTGACATGTATTCCGGCGTTATTTATTGGATTCAGCCAGTACTCTGATTATTTCCTCCTTGCCCAGCCAAACAACACATGTATCCAGCCTTTGGCAAACCTGACTAACCAGTCTCCTGGCCATTCTTCATTGTTAGGCGGTCCAAAAAACATGAGTGCGCGGCCAGTTCATATTTATGCCAATAGAAGCTCCGGCACCCATAATGACACGACCGGCATGCAGTGCAAATGCAGTGAGTGGACATTCGAGCTGCACACAGGACTTGTGCAGAACGTGGTTACCAAGGTAAGCTGTCCTTCTCCAGGATGGGCATCTTTTTCATCCTATTGTGTTATGCATTGTGCTATTGTTGGGCGCCGAGTCATTTCTATTTTGTAGGGGCTCACAGAGTCACGACTTGGCTCACAGTGGTTGTCAAAGTAGTAGGACTGTTTAGGTGAGAGCATGCATAGTGCTAGTCATCTTCACAGCTAAGACAAAGTGTGACCTAAAGCAGACGCCACCACTGACACACATGGGACAAACAAACAAACAAACAAACAAATAAATATCCAGGGCTGGTGGAGTTTGCCTGGTCCTCATATGGACATAACAGACATGGAGCCTTTCATTTGGAGCAAGTCACGGGTGCGCTCAACTACATCCCTGGCCAAACATCACCCTAATCAAACACCAGTGAAATATTCTTGTACTGGTAGCTTTCATTATGGGTATTTCTAGTGTGTCTATGTGTTTACTTCCTATCACATAACCATAATGTTGTATTATTCCTGTCTGTACAAACCACGGCTGAGGAGACAGTATAGGCCTGCAGCGATATTAGTTGTTCTGCCAGCTGGAGAAGGAAGTGTTTTATATCTTATTATGCCTGTTAGCTGTTCACCAACTGTGGATGCTGCATTCTTGTGCTCAAATATCAAGTTTTATTTTAGAAAATTATGAACCATTTTCCTACAGAACACTCCAGGTAAACCTGACATTCATATTCTGATCAGAATGTCATTATGACTTGAGACACCGGGAACATCAATATGTTCAACGTTCCATTTAGAAACAGTCTAAAATGTTGGCACATCCTCTAATAACCTCACACACCCTTACAGACCACAGTAGATTGCATTTGAATCTGCAGCATCTTCAGCCCTGATGAGTTAGGCATGGACGTCATCAGGAAGAGTTTGATCTGAAGCCAGATTTCATTGCCTTTCTGTGCTGTAGGAGGAATTTGTGTCAACCTGAGTTTGGGCACACTGTGATGGCAAAATCCCATCATCTTATCACTGATAAAATCCTAATTTAAATAAAGAAAATGCAATGCAGCTGGGGTGGCATGGTGGTACAGTGGTTAGCGCTGTCACCTCACAGCAAGAAGGCTCGGACCCAATGCCTTTCTGTGTGGAGTTTGCAAACCCTCGTTAGGCTAAGGATAAGCATTGATGGACAATGCAGCTATGGCATTTCAGCCATGAGCCTGGGGACAATTTAATTTCATAATCTGATCACAGGGTAATTGTATTGCATGAACTACAGCCAGGCTGACCTGGACACATTCAAAATGCTCTAAACCTGCAGCTGAGTATGAAGTCACGCATGAGGAAAATCAGTTAGGTGGACTAACATTCAAAAAAAGGTCTGTTTTCTCATGGGTAAAACAAAAAGAAGTTTCTCAAATGAAGGCTCTGGTGCTAAAATGCTGCTTTCGCCCATCACGTTGATGTCATAAACTGCAGATACTAACATTTGTGTTGCCTTTGCACACATGCGAAGCACATCATGTTGATATTACCGCCATTACAGATCAGTGACGGGTCTGAAAAGTTGGCTGAAGTGTCTGGCATTGCTCATCTTCCCTGACCACATACAGTCCACATTCCTACAAGGACATTGTCAGGAGAAAGTGAATCAAAGGGCAGACAAAGCTCAAAATAGAGCCAAAAGTGAAGCAGAACTGACTCTCCCACATTGTTGGTGTTGTCTCTTTTGACAGCCTGTTCATCACTCTTCTCAGACCTCCTTTTCCCACCACAATACAGACACTATGACGTGACACTACCGCAGGAAGTACTACTTTGGCATTACTTCATGTGTTTTCATTGCACAGGGATTGTGCACCTGTGACACCTGGTCTCAGAAAAGCAGAGCAGAGTGCCAGTGCTGATGAGATATGGTACTGTCTGTCAAGATGTACCCACAAACCACATGCTGCTCTATTATCTCTTATATCACATGTGCTCAACATGTAAATATAAATAGATGTTTTCACTGTGTGCCTCTTAGGCCTCGTCTCCAGAATCAGTAGTGCAGGAATAAATCCTGGCTCATTTCTTTTTCCTCGAGGTGTCATAGAAAGAAGACTTTGATGGAGGCAGCAGAGGTTGAGGTGGTGGTGAAGGATCCACAGTGGTTAATGTGGAGACCCATCCTAATTGAATTAAAGCTCTTGAGTCAATGTTCATTTTAATTGAACTGAGCCTTAGAAATGAGATTGTATTTTTCCCCTGAGATGGTTAGAGTGTCTCTGCCACCTCAGCTCCCATTCAGATAGGAATCAACTTCACACAATGTCCAAAACAGTGGCCTGAGAACCTCCTCAAAGCAAAGACTAACCTCTCTGCTGATGTCCTATGACAGTTTGGTTCTGTATATAAATCAGGCACTTGGAAATTATAGATTGATGATTATTTTAGGATCAAAAACAGAATTTATAATTAGCCTCCTGTAATATACCACCGTTAAATGGCATATGGTGGTGCAGAACTACCACACACTAATACATTTAGGCCATATTTAATGTAGAACACAATTATTTTTGCATAGTAAGATTAAAAAGGTGTAACAAATTCCTCTATTTCAAGCTGTTCTTCAAAGTGCTTGTTTTGTTCGACCAACAGTCCAAAACCCCAAGCCATTTAAAATGATACTGACAGCAGCAAATCCCAATGTATGTTTGGCATTGTTGCTTAATGAATTACTAAAATGATTATATGAATTGTTGTAGCTATGTTTTCTGTTCTCAGAATGTAGGTCAGAGTGTTCTACACAGATGATAAGGAAGATGTATAGTAAAAACACATTGGTGGGTACACCCAGACCAGTATCTGTCCTGGAGGTTGACACCCATAGATCTGAAAGATGATACTGTAGTTCAACACCCATGTAGGCCTGTCTGTTCTGCATCCTTTCATACTGTTTACCCAGCTGGGTGGCTTCTTTCACAGGCCCCAGATCAGTGTGGGACACTTTGAAATGGTCACAGCTGTCAAAAGGCAATGGCCCTGCTGCAGACACCCAGTCAGCACACAATGGCAGCCACTTGAGGCCTCAGCTGAGAGGAAAAGACGCTTATGTGGCTAAAAGATAAAACTTTGTTGAGGCCTCTGTGTGTGTGTGTGTGTGTGTGTGTGTGTGTGTGACAAGAGTGTATGCTGCAGGCTTGTTTCTGATAAGTGCTGTTTTGTAAGAGGGATCTGGGGTGTCTGACCTTTGGCTGTGGCGTAAGATTGTTTTTAGGATTGTGTGATGGAATTCAAGTTGTAGGAGAGGGTTGGTGGGTTGTTGATAAGTACGACGTCTCTCTGGTGGTAGATATGTGAAGTTATGGTTCTTGACTGTCAGCAAAAGGAGCCAATAAATATTAGATTGACAGGCAAAGGTTCGTTGTTTCTCCATCCGTTACTGCTGTTTGCATGGAGATATAACTGCCAACTTGTCAGACATGTTAGTGTCTGTCAAGTTCATGCAGCCCTCTAGGATTAATACACATCTGTGTATTATAGTCCGGATGCTACAGTAGCGACTTATTTCTCACACCTAGATAATCTATATTTGCTCTTAGTCAATAAATCCATCAGGCTACTCCTCTAGTGTCAGATAGCTGAGGATCCTTCTTGAATTCTTTTCACCACAGAAGTGCAATGTAAAGTGAAGTATGTATAGTATAAATGTGTCTGCTTTTGCTCTCATTCATCTGCCCTTACTGTCTCTTATGCTATTCTCTTTTTCCCTCACCTGCAGTGCCATCACATTTTGGGATTTCAACCCATCGGTGAGGCAGGTGCTAGAACTTGCACTTGGAAGCACAGAGAGTCTGTTGCTAGGCAGTAACTATGCAGCAGTCCCTCCATGTGTTTTCTGCCTTCTCCTCACACCTGCTTTTAAGCATCTCTTTTCCTCCCTCCTTAGCCTGTAATTTTTTAAATATATTTTTTCTTTATTTTTGCATTTCTCTTTTTATGTTCTGTGTCTGCATTGTATAATCTTCCTTCCTCCGTCCTCCTGTGCTTTCCTCTCCTCGCCTGCTCCCTCTCCTTTGAAACCCCCTCCCTGCTCACCACTTGCTAGTTCAATGAGTGCAGAAATGTGCAGCTGTAGTTGAGAACGTCTTCAGCTGAGCTAATGAGACTCGCTAGTGTAGCCTGACCAGCGGTGGCCAGTGATTTGAGAGAGGTCGACAGACACCCTGGGGATTTTAAAAGATTTGCTCATTGTTCTGCATTTTCCTCTCGGCTAACACAATTCTACACAGTGACTTCTATTCATTACTCCCAAACGAGCAAGACAATAGCAAGGGAGCAACTGACACAAATAACAGGGGCATAGTAAACAAGCTGCATAAATTTGCCTCATGGTTAGACTGAATCAGTTTGTTGGGATTTCTCTGCTCTGCTACAGCTAAAAGTCTGTCTATATTTTTCCACGTGTGCTAATAGCAGCGTGATACCCATTAATTATTTCATATAAGCTCGGTCAGAGTGTTGGTCTGGAGAGAATCCTGGTTAATAATGCATGAAATACTGCAGATACTTTTAAATAAAGCACATTAATGATACTTGGCAATTAAAACCGACTACGCTCTGCCTGTTTGGTTACACATTTCAGCAGAATGTAACACTTGTGAGACACTGCTGCTTTGTCTGTGGCATGTGACTTGGGAATGCTGATACTTTTGGTATTTTCTAACATTGGTCATCTGTCTGTGAACACCTGCAGATGTCTGTTGTGCACAGTCACCAGACTGCCATCTAACCAGGCAGGGCTAGTCCCAGTGTAGTCATAGTCGCTGTGTATCCTGGTTTATCACAGTCCCTGTAGTTTCAGTTTTGGAGTGATTGTGCAACAGGAACTCATTTGCCACCCTCTTTCTTTTTCTATGCTGACATCAATACTGAAACCATGAATGAGTGGCATGCCTGGATCATGTGATGGCTGGGTGACTCTAGGTAATCCTGGTGCATTCTGCGTTCCATTCAGAACAGGTCACTATGGTAAAGGTTACAAGAGGTTAGAGCCCCTCAGAGATCACTATAAGAACATCAAACTACACTTTGTATTTGAAGGGGAGCTGTGTAAAATAAATGTAATTTTATCTTGGTATGTTTTCATATATTAATAACTAGAAGAACTGAGGTCAGTGTTGACCAGGCTCCCATACACTGTGCATCTGCTATAGCCACCACACCCCCGTCTGCTCCTTCTTGCCGTTTCTGTCAGTGCAGACAGCTGGGAGGTATATGTTGCCAAAAAGATAACTAATACCCCCTCAAACATTTACTCTCTGTTTCACTGGGGATCCACTACTGGGATTGTTATCCTCAGTTGGATTAAAATTTGTAGGTTGGGGTATATTTTTTTGTGTGTGGGGTTTGCTTGTGCTGTGTACGAGGTTTATTTGTCATAATTTGTCTCTGCAGTGTTGGGGGAATCAGGGTGTGCTTGATTCAAGCAAAAGCAGCCACACACTGTATCTGTGACATCTTTGTTACTGGGATGGAGAGACTTGGCAGGCAAAGAAAATGAGGAGATGTAATATACCATCTCACAGAACTGTAGAGAAGGCAAAAATAAATAATGAAATAAAATGTTTCTTTATGTTGACCCACTGATTTGGACTGAGGAACTTATAGACATGCACAGAGAGAATTTAATTCCTGATCTCTCAAATGCATGACCGGCTTAGGCTTTGTATATAAAATGCACCAGTTTAACAATTCATAATGCTATTTGCAGAATCACAGTTTTTAAGAGCAAATATTTTTGTGATAATGAATCATTTCTCCATCAGATTCTAAAATATCATGTCTCTTCTTGGTAACCGTTGAGCCTAGAGACAGGTAAACAAACCTACACTGAACACTGTTTGCGATACATTCTGTGTTTAATAAAATGGAAAGGAAATGTTATTGTTGCAGGCATGTCACGTCTATGTGTTTATATTAGATTAGACCAGATGCCAGGAAGCCTTTCGGTTACATAGTGCACCCTTGTCACATTTAAGTGTTGGGTGTTTTGAGTGGTCATAAAGCCTGATAAATCAAACAGACCTAGTGGAGAGGGATAGACATGAGGTGAAAAGTCCTTTCTTCTGGAAAATATATTTTTCACTTTCAGTTTTTATTTGAACTGCATGCTTCTCTTGGACCTTATGTCTGTGTTTGTCTCTACAGTGGAGTCTGGTGTGTGACGCAGCATGGAAAGTCCATATCGCAAAGTTCTCTCTGTTGGTGGGGTCAATCTTTGGATACCTGGTGCTTGGAATCCTTGCTGACTGGTAAGTTATTTCACAGCAAGTCTTAGTGACATATACTGTATGTAGAACAAACACATCTTTTCAACATTTAGATTTTTATATATATATATATG